CTGTAAAAGTACCATAATTTTTTTTTTCTATAAGAATTGAGGAGCTCCAAAGCTTTAAGTGGTGATAAAACTTTATATTGAAAAGACTAGGGTAAGAATACTAATAAAAAGCCGGGCTCGGTGGCTCAGCCTGTAATCCTGCGCCTTTGGGAGGCTGAGGTGAGTGGATTGCCTGAGCCCACGGGTTCGAGACCCGCCTGGGCAGGCGAGACCGCATCTCTACAATAAATCAAAAAATTAGCCGGGCGTGGTAGCGTGCGCCTGTAATTCTGGCTACTCGGAAAGCTGAGGAGGAAGGATCGCCAGAGCCCAGCAAGTCGAGGCTGCGGTGGCCGGGAGCGGCCACTGCACTCCAGTCTGGGCGACAGAGTGAGACTCCAACTCAAAAAAAAAAGAATACCAATAATTGATTGAGGCAGTCAACCAATTGTGGGCAGCGATTAGAGACCAGTTTTGATAATATTATACAAACTTAGACAAAAGGTGATGAGGGTCCCCATGAGCTTATCATTTATCATCACTTGGTCCCTTCATCATTCATACTTCCACTGTACTGATTAAATATTTATGTCTTACTATAGATATGTATTTATTGGTACTGTAATTATGTTACTTGTTTCTCATCTTCCCTAACAATATAACATATTTAGCACTGGTTATAGGCACTTCCAATTATTCCTCAATATCCCTTCTTTCCTTTACAATAGTAATAAAACACTGAAGGTTGAGCTGGACACAGAGCTACCAGTTAGACTACATTTCCTAGCCTCTTTTGCAACTAGCTATAGACCAAGACTAGTTTTGAGCAGATGTGAACAATGCAGTTCTGGGATATGCCTTCATGAGGCTGCTTGCTCTCCATTTCTTCCTGCTTCATTCTTGCAAGTTGCTACGTACTCATTTTTCTCTCCCCTTGCCTGAAGTAGGTGCTGGAGATTATACCCTTTTGGAACAACATAGCTTTCTTAGTCCTTTTCCTGATGAGACAGATGTAGGGTCCTGTCTCATGCTCTTTTGCAAAAAAAGGAAAATAAATTCAGGCCAGTGGGATGTAAGTGAAAGTGGGGTGTAGTATCTGGGTCATGGCCATGATTGGAAGCTCTCTGTTTCCACTTTCCTCCTTCCTGAGGATGGGTGGTCTTGAGCCTATCTTTACCTACAGGATACTAAACAAGAATATGGAAAACTTCTATGCCCCTGGGCCTACCTCATGAGGAAACGTTGCCCAACCTCCTGGGATTGCCTACAAACTTGAACTTCTATATGTGAGAGAAACAACTTCTATTTTAGTTAAGTTACTGTTGTTTGGTCTCTGTTAAAGCAGCCAAATCAATATCTTGACATATAATTTGGAAATACTGACTATTACACCACTGTGTGTTAAATGAATACATAATTGGTAAATATAAAACACTCTATACAAGTAAAGTACAGGTTGAAATATCTATCTGTAATATAGATGTTTGGGCTCAGAAAAATTTTGGATTTTTTTCAAATTTTGGAATACAGCCTTCCTTCAGTCTCCATGGGGAATTGGTTCTGGAACTTCCTGTAGATTGAGGCAGTCAACCAATTGTGGGCAGAGATTAGAGACCAGTTTTGATAATATTGTAAAACTTAGACAAAAGGTGATGAGGGTCCCCATGAGCTTATCATTTATCATCACTTGATCTAAAACGGCATAGTATTAATATATTACCTATGCATTTCCTCCCATATACTTTAAATTATCTTTGTATCACTTATAATACCTAATACAATGTAAATGGTATTTAAATAGTTGTTATATTGCATTGTTTAGGAAATAATATCAAGAAAAAAGTCTGTACAAGTTCAGTACAGACAGAATTATTTTTCTTAATATTCTCAATCCAAGGTTGATTGAATCTATGGGTGTGGAACCCATGGACAAGTGTATTTGCAATATATTTACTGGTTGAGCATACCAAATTAAAAAATCTGAAATCCACAGAGCTCCAAAGAACATTTCTTTTGAGTGTCATGACAGTGTTTAAAAATTTCACATTTTGGACCATTTCAGATTTCAGATTTTTGGGATACAGATACTCAACTTGTATTCTTAAAGAACTATTTCTTTCATTCCCCTAAGCATTGAGAATAAAATGTCTATGGTCTACTGTGAAGGAAAGCTATAGTATAAAGCTTAAGTTGAACTCAACTTCTCTATCACCATAACCTTGGGTCCATATCCTAATTTTCTTTATGATAAGGTAGGGTAGCACAGAAAGCACCCATTGTCTTCCAAGATAAAGACAATCCAATACTGGGCTAATAGATTCTAGTCGTGGGTTTTATCATACTTTAAACAAAGCCTTTCAAAGGAAAATCAACCATGAAATCTTCAAATTCTATATCTCCTATAGCTCATTATAGACAAATAGAACAGTATGAATTTGAATATCAAACTTTGATTGCAGGGCTTTGTGATGGCTTGTTTTCTTACAGAATTCACCAAAAACTTCAGAGAAACAAAGAAACTACTTACAACTGAAGAACAATATTTGACACTGAGATTTTTAAAATTTGCCACATACATTTATCATTATTTTGTAAATAATTCTGCATTCTCATATACAGATTATGACTACTTAAACTGGAATTTCTGTTTGCCCAGTTCATTTATTAAGTTTATTATCAAGTTTGTGTACTTTGGTCACTATAGCACACAAAGAAACATCAGAAATCTCTGTATAACTCCTTAGAGTATAGTTCTTTATGTTGTATAGAAGAACACTGGGAGGATGACTTATTTAATTAGTTAGGATTTGAAAAAAGGAACTGAAATTAACTCTAACCCTGGAAAAATGGTTGAGGGAGGTGGTTGGATTTTGGAACATGGAGTTGCAATGAAGAAAAGCTAGAAATTGGCGTATATATTCTGAATAGAAATACACTTTCAGAAGAAGATGGGAATATTTTTACTTTATGATGCTGAAAGTCTACACTGCAAAAAAACAAAAATGGTAAAATGTAAATATCAGATATGAAAAATACATTTTAGTTTCCTGTGTAACCAAAGTTATTTTATATAAACAGTATTGTCTTTCTTTTATCAAGACTTTATTGTATTTGTTTTTGGTTTTCCTTGGATTACTAAAGGCAAGGACTTGGTTATGTTGACCCCAAATTCCCAGAATTGTGCTTCATAAATAATGTGTGTTAAAAAAAAAAAAAAGAGTTGTTGACTGAATGGCTGAATGAATAAATAACGGTCTCACTTAAGAATTCTGATTTCCCTTAAATGAAGCAAAGTAAATGACCCATCCTAGTTTGATAATCCCAATGGAGAAAGAATTATTGCCATTAAGAGATTTTTCTTCAAAATAAGAAAAGAGAAGACAATCTATCTCAAATAAGTTGTTTATAAGGAACACTGCTTCATAATCATTACTTTTAGTCTTTAGGCAAATTTATTAATATTTGACAATACTGAAATACCTGATTTTCCAGAACTATGACTTTAGGTGTAAGACTATATTAAAGAATTAATATAAGATTATGAATGTAGGTTTAGAAAAAAGAGAGAAAAATTCTGACCATTACAGCATGTTTGTGAGGCTAAGATATGACACTGAAAGAACTCACCAAAATTTTAATAACTGTGTAGAAGAAAAACTAAATGATTAGCTTGAATGGTTGTGGTGTTCTATATCTCTGGTAAATGAGTCATTGCAACTTCTATGAGAACCTATTTATGCGAATTCCATGAAAAAGAACTGCAGTTACAGCAAGCAGGAATCTTAGTCTATTTCCAAGAATTTCAGCTACTGCAAATCAACCAAAACACTTTGCAATAATGAGGATATCATTCTATACAGAAACATGGGAATCTGGCCTAGTGGTCTATAGGTAATCTGTTTCATTCATGTATTTTAAGGATGTGACTTAAGAATAAGGTATTAGTTTTGCAACATCTAAGTAAAAGAAATAAGGTGACACTGGAAAACAAAGCTATTCATTTAACATAATGAATTGCTATACAAGTCAGATCATCCCAGGATGTAAATTATATAAATTTGAAAGCTGCATTTATTATTTAATGTCTCATTCTCAGACAGGTGCTTACTCAGTAGCAAAATCTGGTTTAGCACACCAAATTTAAAGCTACTCAACAAATAGGAAGACTTTATAAAAAACTATCATGCATGTAGCTAAAACATTTGTGTGCATTTTAAAACATTTTTCCTGCGGTGGCCGGGAGCGGTCACTGCACTTCAGTCTGGGCGACGGAGTGAGACTCCAACTTAAAACAAAAACAAAAACAAGAACAAACAAACAAAACAAACATTTTTCCCTAATGGTATTGAGAATATTTTATTTTTGCTACAAATAATAGATATGAAATATGAACTGTATTGATAAGCAGAGGCACTTAGGTTGTTTAAAACATAATTTAAAACGTCTCTCAGGAAACAACCTTCATATTAAGTTGCCTTTCATACTCTAACAAGCTGACATCATTTTGCAAGAGAATCAGTATTGTTAGAATAAATGATAAGATATTCCAAAATTTCCTAGAGAAATTGAAGAGATGACATTTCTTATTGTAGATTATTTAACGAGTTTATGTCTCCAGTTGTATATCAGCTTACGTTAAATTTTGCAAGTTTATTATACCTAATAACTCACCTTCTATAAGGTTCTTTGCTGAGTGGGGTTAATTTAGGAATCAATAATTAAAGGGGGTCATTTCTCTTCGTGTAAATAGCTTAAGAGTAATTTGGGGTGGTCCAGAAACCATGAGTTATCAGGAAGGTGGTTACAAAAGGGCACAGCACAGTAATTGCCCAAGATTCTAACAACCTAGCCTGACCTCCTCACACCGAGGGGCACCGTCTGCTACTGGCTGAGTGTTTGCCATTTGGGGCAAAAACCACCTAGGACATGGGCTCAGAGTCCATGCTAGGGCTGGCCAACCTCTATAAATGTCGTGTTCCCTGATTGGGAGCGAGTGCATTCAATTTAGGAAGATCACTTACGACTGAGTTTTTCATCATGGCTTTGACTGTGAAGCCCTCAGAAACCAGGGAGTGAGGCTGGTGCACCGGGAGCGGCTGTTGTGCCAGCAGCTTGGTCCTCTTCGGCATCTTGTCTGGGCATTTGTTTAAGCTCAGGGTCTCTTTTTCTGCCACCATCTTCCTATAAAATGTCTTGTTCTCATAAAAAGTGTAGTAAAAGAATCAGTGGGTTTTACGGATGTAAGCAGGAGGTCAGGAAAAAATGTAAAAAGGCGCGTTAATGGTAGATATTCAACCCCTCGTAGTGCCCAGGTTGATCCAGATGTTTGGCAGCTCCTAGGTGAAAGGAGTTTAAGGGAGGGGAGGGGCGGGAAGAGGGCAGGAGCGTGGCTAGCGCTGCAACAAGCTTCCAAAGGTAAGCCTCCCGGTTGCTAAGCAACTCGTCAACATTGCGGACGAACAGGCCCGCCCCTCCGTGGCGTACGTTTCCTGGGCCTCAAGCCGGAAAGGGCGGCGGGCGGCCGGCGGCGTGAGGAGAAACTACGCATTAAAACTACGACTCCCAGCAGGCCCCGGGCCGCGCACAGTTTGTGCGTACTCACTCCTCGGGCCAAGCGCGGGGGAGGGGAGACCTGGGTGATTTAATCTGGGAGCGCGTCGCTGCTGCGAGGCTCGGGCGGGCGCCGGTGCGCACGTGGGCCCCTGCTTGCCCTGCAGCCGCCACCTGCCCAGTGACCATGATAGGTACGTGGTGCCTGACAGGTACAGCCTCTCTGCGCCGCCCCGCGCCGGTGTCTGGCGCAACGCCCTGTCTCGGCCGTCCAGAACCCCAGTGGCTGGCAGGTGCTGTCAGTGACAGGGCGAAAGTGTCCTCCCCGTCCTCAGCCCGCGCCGCCGGGATCGTCGTGGGTCCCCGAGGATCAGTGTGTGTTTAAACCCCTGTCCCCGTCTCGCCCGTAGTTTAGCCATGTTCCCACTGAAGACAACTTGACCAGGGACACTGGCCCCCGCCGCTCCCCCCACCATCCCACGGGGATCGGGCTGGGCCCCGCTCTCCCCGCAGCCTTGCTCACCGTCCAGCCAGCCAGACCTACCTGTGTGGGGTCCGTCCAAGACCTCGCCCCCTCACTTTCCGTAGGGGAGCCTGGTCGCTGTCTCCCGGTTTAGGAAAGATTGGGACTTACTGTCTACAGGACTCTTTAATGACACTCTAGCAAAACATGACACTGTAACGGAAGGTACCTGGGAAGGATAGTTGGAGTCAAAAGGCATTCCTCCAGATGGAGTTAGACTTCTTGCTCCCTCTGATTTTTCCTTTGAAATCTCCCATGGGAGGTCTGAGATGAAAGAAGAGTTAAGAGTAAATAATAGCACAGACTATAGCTTCTGCCTTTTGCAAACGAATGAACTATTTAAAAAATGAGCTAGGTGCATTTTTGTGAATGCAACTTGGGAAGTGGCTATAAGATTAGCAAAGGTCTTCTATTTCTGTGTTAAGTCAAGTTACTTTCGGGGTTATTCCCTGAAAATTAGTGGAAATGCACAGTATGTTTAGAAACCATTGCTGTTTGGGGGCTTCGTTATGGCAGAGATTTGCTCCAGATTATGTGTAGAAGGTCTAGTGAGCCTGTTTGGGGATTATTCCTGAGAAGTGCCACTTACAAAACACTTTTGATTGCAACAAGTACATTTGCAGTCAGATGTGGTCTGTCCAGAAGAAAGGTGAGAGGTGGATTCATGAAGTATGTAAGTTTTATGCACTGAAAACACTTCTTAAATCTGTTTTTACTTATGAAATTAATGTTTAAATGTACAACATTCTACTCATCACTGGGAGAATCAGCCCAGTTAATGGGCATTGTCTTTGCCGCAATAGTAAAACTTCATGTTTTCCAGCTTTTCTTACTTTCTATTATGGTCTGACTTTTGGTGAATTACTTGAAAGTTGTCAAATTTTTAAAATATTATGAATATTTATGAATTGTATTGAGTTTTTTAGAGATTCATTTGTAAACATTTGCATAATATGCACTTGTAAACACAGATTTGAACTGGATCATAGAACAAAGTAGAAGAGATTTTTCAAGTTCTTTGCTGCCAGTATTTTACAGGAAAAAGATAGTCTATTCCTTCTTTTGAAGACAAATTTTATTTTAATTCAACTTAATTTAGTGTATGGATAATTTTAAGAGAAACAATTTTATTGTAAAGTTATATAAAGGCAGGAACTTAAGATCTAAAAATCATTACTTAGTTATAAATTCTCTAATAAATTATTATATACATAATGTGTGTTTAGGAAGTCTTGTTTAGTTTAATATGGGATTCTTCCAAGAAGGAAGACATATGATCTTTGGATTTTATGTTTAAACAGTTATCAATTTCTGGTAATGACATGGAGAACATGGGGAGGTTAAAAAATGTTCTTTTTCTCACTCTAGCTATTGTTTTACATAGTGCAAATAAGGGTGCATTTTAGCATAAATGGTTAAATCCATACCTTCTTCCCCAAGAAAAGAACCTTACATATGAAAATCATGTGGACAATGTGCAATTAATTATTTTATTCAGTTAGTTGCATTGCCTGGTTCTGTGGGTGAACACATTTCTGTAAAAATCTGTAGGACCAGTTTTGAACTTGGGTATGGTGAACAGTGCTGAAGGTGGGTGAAAGTGAAAGGGGCTGAAAGGCAGCCCAGGAGTGATGGGTTTTGTGTTTTTGTGACTGAACTTTGGAGCCAGGAAAGGCCTTGTAGACCTTGCCCAGTGATCACTTGGAGATCTAAATATACATAAATATATATCTGGGGATTGTTTTTCTGATAAAGATTAAGAGGGCTCCTCAGAGACTACTTCTTTCATGCCTATGCTTTCTGTGATTGCTTTACTCTCCCTAATGCAAATAGTACTCTTCCACTTTGTTTAAATCCTGGCTTACTTTGAGGAAAAACAACAAAAAATGGGTTTCCTGGTAGTATAGGAGTAAAGGGGACTGACTATTACTACCCATAAAATTTACTTTCCTTTTACTTTTTCAAAACTGAGAATTCCTTTCTTGGCATGGAGGCTGTTTCAAAGGTGCTTACGTTCCCACCAGATTATGATTGATATGTTGAATACCCTTACCCAGGAAGCTACAGGAACATAATTTAATTGAAGTCAGTGAAAAAGTGTGCCTTTGTGAGAAGTGTGGAAAAGGACTTCAAGATAATATAAAGCAGAATAGGAATGCTTAAAAAAATTCAACTTAGAAAACTGTAATTCTTGGCACCTCTATTAAAAATATATTTCATCTTTTTAAAAAATGAGCAATTCTTTGTGTTTAAAGTGGAATATTATTGGTGATATTTGTGGTATGTTCTAAATGTTCTATAGAACTGGATTTAGATATTTGAGTAATAATGTATATTAAAGTGCATGGATATACACACAACGAAGTTGTTGGTATTGAAATTCAAATTCAGTGTCTTATACTTTTAAAAAGTTTTTGATCAAAAAAAGATTAGAACATAGTCTCTTCTATACCTTGTTTAATTTAGCATCTCTTAGAGAACTTACATATCTGTACGTATGATCCACTCCACAGTAATTACTGCCTAGTCTTTTATACAATACTCCCATTATGCAAAAACTTCCCAGTAAATAAGCAATCAGTAAGTGCACAGACCATTGTTATCAGGAATGTTTGTGTCTCGTCTTTTTACTTGCATATATACGCATATCTGTAAAATTAAAATCCTACAATTTCTGAGTGAATTTTCTAGTCAAAGAATATGTAGATTTTGAATTTTTGTAGGTATTTCTAAGTTGTTCTGAAATAAATAGTCCAATTTTCACTCATATCTAAAGCCTCTACTAATGAAACATGGTAGTAAAGAGCTGCCCTGCCCCTTTGGACTGAAAATTACTGAAGGACATCCTTCACAGGACTGACTCAGCTCTCACCAGCAGAAGACCTGCTGGACTTCCCTTCTACCCACCTCTTTCTCATCCTAGGTTCAGTGCCTTTCAGTGTATGAGCTGTACCCCAAATATATCTCTTATCAGCCCAACTAGATCCTTGGTGGCCCTACCCTCCCTGACAGTGTTATAAAAGTACCCATTTCCCCCCTGTGTGCCATCAAAGATTTTTTATTTTTGCCTTTTTGATAGATAGAAAGCAGTATATTTTAATTTTTAAAGTGAATTTATTAAGGAAAGAAAGCCTCTCAATTCTCATCTTATAATGCTTTAGTTTCACAAAAGCAGATCCATTGGTTGAGCACCTACTGTGTGCCCAGTACAGCTCTAGGTAACAGGTAAACAAGAATGATTAAAACAGACAAAATGACTTGCCATCATGAATGCACAGTCTAACTTTACTATTTGCCTATGAATCTACATATTTGTTTTCAAACTTGTATGTAGTAAATGTTAAAGTCTCAGAATTTATATTTTTAGTTGAATATCCTGAGTTCTGTTACTTGCCCTGACATTTTAATAACTGGATGAAAAACAACTCTGTGTCTAAGTATGCCTAACTTCTATTTGTAATGAAGAACAATTGTGTCAAAAATAGGTTCTACTAAATTTTGCATAGAAGATTTTATGTAATTATATGTAGTTCTTCATTGGGTCCAAAGATTCTAAAATGATGTCCCTACGCCCTTTACAATGTTGACCCTATTTCTGAGGAATTTTTTTGAAGTCTGCATTTTTTGAAACCTCACAGCTTCATTGCTTGAAAATGATACAACGAAAGTACTTTGTATTAAGATATGCAAATCCATTCCTACCTCCGAAACTTCTTTGAAACATGCAAAAAGAGTTCTTACTTCGAAATGCTTCATATTCATGAAAGCAGTTTCAATGCAAAATATTTTATTCTGTTAGCTTTTAGTTCTTTGATCAATGAAAATTGTTTCTTACCTGCTGTTTCTTCAGCTTTTAATTGTAGCCCAGTGCTTATTCAATGTTTCTGTTTTAATTTGGATTTAATGAGTTCATTTAAAATGTTTCTTTGTAGTAATCTGAATGCTTTCTCTCTTAAATTTTGTAGTCTTTAAGAGAGAGACTCATATGATGGTTGGCTGATTTCTGTTGCAGCTCGCCTCCTGGGTTTATTTACTTCATTCTATAGAAGAGAATATTGGTTAATAGGAATTATAGTACGAGGACTTTCCCCCCCAGTACGGTGTGTCCTAATTATCTAGGATAATAAATGATAAAAATCTTATTGTTATAGAATGTATTAATGTCTCTCTCTAACAGGTAATTTTTTTTCATGTTACTAAAGCTTTAAATGTATTTGTGTTCCAAAAGTAATCTCCTTCTTTGATATGTGGCACATGATGCTTTGAGTTCTATTTATAGTTTTGTCTCTATATGGAGAAAACAATGTTGCTATAGCTATGGATACTGTGTCACCCAGAATAGTGCAGAGTAGAGTTTCTTCCTCTTAAATATCTATGTAACTTATATGTCTGCCTATGTATTGAGACCATCCTTGGACAAATGTTTGTATTTTTAAGAGTAGTGATGGGTTCTTGAAGACTTCTCTCATAAAGGTTAATGTTAGAGCCTTAATTTTGGAGGAAATAAAAATCTCCATGTCCAGTATATAGTAACCTTACCCATTCTGTACACCTTCACTGCTACCCCCATCAAATGAGGAAAAAAATTCGTGATTAGGTCATTAATATTGGTGTTTTCAATACAATAGACATTTTTAGTATTTATGGAATTGTTGATTATACCAGTTATTCCTGCAATAAGGCCTTTCAGTATGTAAATAAGATGACCTGAGATGGAGTCCTTTGTAACTGCATAGTCAATTTTAAAACTTATTGTACTTGCAAAGTAGATTCATTTTCCCGATCACAGAAAGGTAGGAAATGGACACCTGAAACTTGCTCTGTGTAAATAAAGAAGAGAAATAGGGCTGAACATTTGTAATACCTGTGTTTCTGAGGTGAACCTTTGGTTTTAAATCCACTTGCACTCCCTATTTTCTCTTCCCTCATTTTTTTTTTCTGTCTCACATTCCTTGATTTTCTCAGAAACTGGAATTTTAGCATTTCATTCTTCATCTCACAGGAGCAGCTGTTGTCTGAAAAATTACTAGATGAGTTCTTTCCTTCTATGTGGCTACAGTTGCCTTAGGGCTTGTCTATTGGTTATAATGTGTTTCTGAGGGTCATGACAGGAATGACGCAGCTAAGCAGACCAGGCTTCACCATGGCTCCTCCTTGAGGTATTCCCTAGTTAGGAAGTTGTCTGCAATAAAAATATGTGTAGCCCCAGACTGTGCATTTTACTTCCAGGGGAAATCCAGTTCTGATTATAACTTTTTTCCCTTTTGAGCCAGAGTTATGGGAAATAATGAATTCTGGGTAGCTAGAGGATGAGGCAACAGTCAGGTTTACTGCCTGGAGAATTAAAGATTTAAGGATAATATTTAATGCCCTGAATTTTCTCTCTATCTTTGAGCTCAGCCTTCTTTCCCCTGTGAGTCCTTTCTTGCTCTCTGATGGGTCCCCAGGAAGTGTGAGGTACAGATTTAGGCACAAGTAAGGCAGCATCTTCTGAGCTGCTACTTATCTAGGCTGCTGCCCACAAACGTGTATACCTCATGGATCAGCTGGCATTCACCCAGGTTGGATAATTAAGTGTGACAACATCTAAAGTTGTTTTTACTTGAAGATGCCTGAATTTATAGTATCAGATGAGAATTGTCTTTTACTATGCAGTAAATTTAGATATAAACAGATGATGCAAAACAGAAAGTAACATATAGAAGTACACTACTGACTTCCCACTCTTGTTCATTTAGCAATGAACAACCTGTGAAATGCCCAACTTTTGGTAGGTAAGGGAATTTCTTACTTTGTTGTGGTCCTCTCTGGAGTTGTATTCTTTCTTCATTTTCCCTTTCTTATATATATGGTTGGCATCTGGTATTTCTCACTGCACATAGAGTTCCTGTCTTTATTTTTTTGTCACATTAATTTCAAAGAATTCATCAAATAATCTTATCCTCAGATGCTAAAGTTCTACACCAGCTCTACATGCTTGCTTTAATATTCTGGCAGTTTCTGGGCATTGCAGCACATTTTAGAACCCTATTTTGTTTTGGGGGGACCAAGTTTTGAAATCATTTTTGATAGAGACCCAACATCTGAGGAACTTTCATATTGGATCAAATCATGGTTGTCACAGTTCTTTACATATACATTTATTAAAAATTACTTCTGACTTCTGCAGTTAATTTAATCATTTCATGCCCAATAGAATGCAAGTTATACAGGTAAAGTCAGTTGGAGAAGGGATAGGGATGCCATTGGAGATCAGATTTCTGGAGGTGGCATGATTTTTTGACTATCAAACAATGATGATAACAAGATCTTTAATATTAATGATCTTAGGCTGATACATATGTGTGAACTCTTAATTATTAAGATTTTTTAAAGAATAGTAATGTAAGAGTTTACTTACTATAACCAAAAACTAGACAGCATTAGGTGCCATTTGTATATGTAAGCATATCAGGAAGTAGACCCCAAAATTGTTATCTTTGGGTTGTGGGATTTATTTTTTTTGTTGTGATTTCTGTGTTTTTCAGATCTTCTGGATTAGATATGTTGTGTTTTGGAAATACCAAAAAGCAGTGTGTTACAAACACTACCTTAAGAATAGAACAAATGTATCATTATTGGAATACATGTAGAACTGATTATACTTTTGTGACAAATTATGTTAGATAAATTTCTAATTGGTAGTGTACTCTAAGTAATTTTATGTTCTGGTCATAAATGCAGTATTTTCAGGAAAATAAACATTAGAACCATAATTTCATTTTCTTCCATCTTAATTTTTAAAAAATAATATTATATATTATTGAGATGCAGTTCAGTTATTATACACTTTTATTTTGCTGCTGTACCAAATTACCAAAAGTTTAGTGACTTTAAACAGTACAAATGTATTCTTTTATAGTTTTTGAGGCCTGAAGTTCAAAATGAATATTAAGGGCTAAAACCAAGGTGTTAGCTGGACTAGCTCCTTCTAGAAGCTCCAGTGGAGAATCCTCTTTAACTTCTTGGGGCTGCTGACATTCCTTGGTTCTTGGCCACATCACTCCAGCCTCTGTCTCCATGGTCGCATTGCTTTCTCCTTTACTGTAGTCAAATCTCCTTCTGCCTTCCTCTTATAAGGACACTTGGAGTTACATTTAGGAACCAACAGGATGACCTCTTTATCTCCAGTTTCTTAACATAATATGTCTTTAAAGTCTCTTTTGCTGTGTCAGGTAGCATTCATAGATTTAGAAGTTATTCAGCCCACCACAGTTAATAGTCATGCTTCACTATTAGAAAGCATGGTTAAGTGCCTTATTGTGAAGGAAGAATGGCAGATGGCAGATATAGTACATTGAATTGACAGTGATACTACTTGATTTTTGTCATCTCGGAGGTCAGTTAAAGGTAATGCAGTAAGCCGGGCTCAGTGGTTCAACCTGCAATCCCGTGCTTTGGGAGGCTGAGGTGAGTGGATTGCCTGAGCCTGCGGGTTCGAGACCCACCTAGACAACTTGGCGAGACCTCATCTCTACAATAAATCAAAAAATTAGCCGGGCATGGTAGCGCGTGCCTGTAGTTCCAGCTACTTGGAAGGCTGAGGCGGAAGAATCGCCGGAGCCCAGCAGATCGAGGCAGCAGTAGCCGCTCCTGGCCACTGCACTCCAGTGTGGGCAACAGAGTGAGACACCAACTCAAAAAAAAAAAAAAAGGTAATGCAGTAATGATACACATGAGAAGTGACTGTGTGTGTGTGTGTGTGTGTGTGTGTGTGTGTGTGTGTGTGTGTAAACTAGTTGTTGAAGCTGACCAAGGACATAACTTGCTTTTCAAGGTAGTTTTCCCAGGTGGCAAAATAACATGTGGATACTCTCCTGGACTGAAATAGTGAATTTCAGCTGGGTAATTTGATGTACCAGGTTGCTAATTTGTATCCTGTAGAGAAGGGGAAGTTTTGTTATGCCTCTGACAGGAAATATGACTTCACATAACAACAGATGATCAGGCAAAGCAGGAGCAAATAACCATTTTATGTATATTTTGCTTTCTGATTTGAAAGTTCACTAAGAACATTAGACACTTAATGCTCCTTAGAATTGTTTAACATTGTTCTGCCCTTTGTAAATAATAGCTAATCTGGTTTGGTTGAAAATTACACACTTAGAATTTTTAAACAAATTCTAGTAAAGTTGAGAAGGACAAAAAGAATGCAGTCTGGTATTAATGGCTTAGTTTGCTTCAGTTTCTTACAGATGCCGGCATAGAACATGGTTTCATGAGGCAGTTTTAGCTGAAACATTTGGAAAATATTTCATTATACACTGTTAGTACAGTTAGGGGAGATTCGAAAGAAAATATAGAATAAATTTTAAAAACAGATAGATGCAGAGTTTGATTTTTCAAAAAATAAGTAGTTCATTTTTATCAGAGCAAAGAAGAAAATAAAGGTTAAATTCAACAAACATGGCCAGGCGCGGTGGCTCAAGCCTGTAAATCCCAGCACTTTGAGAGACTGAGGCAAGTGGATTGCCTGAGCTCAGGGGTTCGAGATCAGCCTGAGCAACTCGGTGAGACTTAGTCTCTACACTAAATTTAAAAAAATAAGCCAGTGGTAGCATGTGCCTTTAGTTCCAGCTACTTGGAAGACTGAGGTGGAAGGATGGCCTGAGTACAGCAGGTTGAGGCTGCGGTGGCCATGAGCATGCCATTGCACTACAGCCTGGGTGACAGAGTGAGACTCCAACTTAAAAAAGTAAATTAATAAACATTTATTGAGAACCTAAGTTATAGGACCTGTGACAGGCACCAAGCCTGCATAGCTAAATGAGCAAGTCACAATTTAATAAAGATGCTGTGTACACATATAAAATAATTATCAGCAGTAGTGCAAGTTATGATGGAAGTGCGTTTAACTGTGTGATAAAGCAGGAGAACCTTCAGCAAACATGGTGTTTATTTGAGCTGGACTTTTAGAGCTGAGTGGTCTCCTTAGCAAGCAAATAAAGAAAGTGCATTACAAACAGGGGGACTGACACAGCAAGACAGGGGACTTGTTAGAAAAGACTGCATTGAGGAAGGATGGGTAGTTGACCTGATAGAGCACCATGAGCTTGGGGGAGGAAGTGATGTGATTAGGGTGAGGAGTGTGGGGGCCCACTTCAGTGCAGTTTTCCATGTTGCGCTGGTGAATTCAGGTTTTGCCCTGAGTAATGAGGAACTACTCATTCTTAATGCTAGGAATGAGCATGACCAGAGTTACTGATAGAAAGAACATTGGCAACAGAACCATGTTACAACTCACTCATTTAGTTTTGGTTGATATGGAAATTATGACGATGCTAATCTAGCCTATCCCAATTTAATGAAGATCAGTGTATCTGCAAGGGAATACACTGTGTTCCTTGAATTTGAAAGACCTTTTGGGCAGAGGAAGCAAACTTGAATGCCCACAGTGGTCAGTGTGCAGGCGAACATAAGTTCATGAATCAGCCTTTTCCACGATAGTGGGAAGTGGCTGTGCCTATTGCTGGAAGTGCGGAGTGAATTCGAGTTTAAAATAGAAACTAACATTTCCAGTAGCTAAATGCCTGGAGTGTATTACTCTGCTTCTCACTTAAGATCTTTAAGCTACCAGGACAATTAGTTGTACTTTGATATAATCAGAATAAATAAACCCTTCAAAAGGTTTGTGCAATTCAGATTATTTTGATGAAATCTTTTTCCTGCTAAACTTTAAAGACCTAATCTCATTCTGTTTTTATATTGTTTTTTTACTTTCCTGCCTTATTCTTTGGCGAAGTGTGCTTGTACTTAATAATAATTGTTGAATAAATGAAAGTGTGAATCAAAGGAAAGGAGACATTTGTCCTTGTCACTGGTTTATCTTCTCCAGTGTCCCTGGAAAGCAATAGCCTGTGGGATGTGGTCTTGTTTTATTTATCTTTGTGGCTTCTAACCCCAGCAAAATCCCACTAATGAATGAAAAAATTAATAAATTGCTATGGGGAAGGGACACTGTGGCTTGATTTTGGGAAATACTAAGTAAACGTTAAATGTTTCATATTCTGAGGAGATGTTTCATTAATTTTTGGAGAGAGATTTTGGTCTGTCACATTTTCTTGTGCAAATATTGGAACGGGTCCAAGGATGATGATTTTTTTCTTCCTTTTTTTCTCCTGCCCTTTACTATTGTTTCTCTAATGCTTGCCCTCAGAAGCTATTACATTATCTTAATTTTGAAAGAAGTTGGGATTTTATTTTAAAATGGCTACTCCATGCAGCATGTTTAGAATATAAATCACATAGATGCTTTAGAATATAAATCACATAGATGCCTTGTCTCTTTTCTACCTTTAACTTTTAACTTTACCACAAATGCAATTTTGCTTTGTTGGGGTCTGTATTTACTTGTTTCCCTAATGTAGCTTTTCTCCATAGACTACACTCAGTAGAAACATATGCTCAAAGCTTCAAAGTAATCACAATATCACTAAAAGGTTCATAATCACATTACTGAAACTAAATGTTTAAAAAATTTGATTTTTCTTGATCCAATCATTTCAATTTAATTCTAGGCTACTGCATGATTGATTGAGAAAACCTGACAGGCCACAGTCAAGGGGTGTTTATAATGCCTAAAGCCTTGTAGAGAAAACCTCAAGGCAATTTAATTTGGGTAGAAATTCATTTTAATTATTCTACACGCTTTTTATAAAATGGAAAGAACAGATTTGTTTTCATGCTTTTAGTGTTTGCCCCACTCTTATGGCATCATTTGAGCCCCATCTTGAGTGCTCATACATTTCCTCCTCAGCCCCTGCTTAGACAAAGACCCCTGTGTTGTAAGACAAATAACTGAAGTCTGATTTTTTTCATAATTGTTCTAAAGATTTTTTGTCTGTATTAAAAAGATGTATTTAAACTTTAAAGGTTTTTTTTGGAAATTGTGGGCAGTTTTGAGATATTTGTATGTGTTTATGGTAAGCAGGCACACCTCCAGCAGTGCTTCCACATAATTAAATAACAGGACATGCCAACGGCATTGCTTATCCATGAGGATGCAGAGTGTTATGAATAAACATGTCTACCTTTTCCTCATTGCTCACAGGGGGCGGGGAGGAATGATCATCCATCAAATTCAGGTCTGTGGTTGTTTTGAAAAACCACTTATTTTTATTTTTAATGAATTATGGAGACAAATGAATATGAAATTACTTTCTGAAGCAATGTGAATTTTTCTAATTTTTAGCAAAGTTTAATTTTAATCACATATATTGCAAAGCAGTGAATTTAGAATATTTATTGATTACATTTGACATCTACTCAGCTAGAAGTCTGGACATAACACTGAGATGTTTTAATAAATAAAATATAATATTGGCTGGACTCGATGGCTCAACCTGTAATCCCAGCACTTTGGGAGGCCCAGATGAGTGGATTGCCTGAGCCTGCAGGTTGGTGACCAGCCCAGGCAACTCGGTGAGACCTCATCTCTACAATAAATAAAAAAAAATTAGGGGGCATGGTAGCTCACACCTATAGTTCTGGCTACTTGGAAGGCTGAGACAGAAGGATCGCCTGAGCCCAGCAGGTTGACACTGGGGTGTCCATGAGTGTGCCACTGCACTCCGGCCTGGGTGACAGAGTGAGATTGCAACTCAAAAAAAAAAAAAACAAAAAAACAAAAAAATTTATATATATATATATATTATATATATATATATATAATATTGCTTCTAAATTGTTATTCCATGCTCCCTTCCTAAGTTCTTTTTTTTCTTTTATAAAACAGTGAGGTTAGGTTATAATAGCTAACAGACAAATCTTTTGCAGATAAAGTATTACAAAACACTTGGTGACATTTGAACCTTTTTATTAATTTCTAAAGGTGGAGTTTGAAACCTGGATTCTTGACAATGTAAAATGAAATTATGGTATTTCTCAACTCTTATTATTCCCTGAATCTAACTTGCTTTTTCTGCCTTTCCTCCCCTTTGGCAGAGACCTAATTTTATAAATAATGATCTTCTCACTATTCTTCTGCTTCCTTGAGGGTATGTTTATCGTTTGTTTGATTGATTGATTCTATGTTTTGAAATCAAACTTGGAATTAAAGATGTATAATGCCCATGGCTAGTAACACTTCTTGTTCACTTTCTTTCCCATTCAGGCCATGCTCCAAATCATCCCCTCTTTCAAACTATAATATCACAATATCTCCTATGCTTACTACTTCTATTCCATAGTACAGCAGAGTGAAGTGGTGGTAATGATGGCCCTTCATAGGAGTTTTACTCTGCAGGAACTGGAACTGAAGTTAGGAGTCCCAGTTTCATGTTGAGGTCCCAGATACTGGTTTAGGTTTTAGAAGATAGGAAAGGGGAAGTGATCCTGGGCTTTACATTAATGTCTTAATTGTATTCTCTTGCTTACATTAAATAACCTAGGAGG